CAATTCAACACGGGTGTCCCAAACCCACAATATCTTTCCTCTTCGTCTTTGATCGTGCACCCTTGGAGTTATGTCTGCCTTATCTGCTTCGTGCATTCGGCGCAGCCCCAAAAGCAGGAGGAGAGAGGACGAATGGAAGGAAGGGACAAGGCGGGGGAACAAAGGTGGAGCACGACAGAGCTTAGCAGGAGGGGGTAGGAACAGACAACCACAACAGCAGCAGCAACAACAACATCATACAACAACAACAACACCATCAACAACAACAACAACAACAACAACAACAACAGCAACAACACCAACAACAATAATAATAATTATAAGACTGTTCGCCCTTATATGCTCGAGTGTCCAATAACGCGTATTTCCCAAACCCTCGATACCCGTCCTCTTCGTCTTCGATCGAACCCCTTTTGGGGGGTATACCTTTCTTCCCTGCAGGCCGGGCCCCGGCAAGCGGCGGGGCGGCCGCGGACCGTCGGCCTGGCCAACGGCAGCGCTGATCGGCGTTGCGGCCGCGGACCGTCGACCCGACCCCAAGAGGGACGGACAGGGGACCGACCACGACGACGACGACGACGACGACGACGACGTCGACGACGACGGCAACGACGGCGACGGCGATGACGAGCGAAAGCGAGAGCGAGAGAACGACAGCAGGGCCACGAAGGGCACGAAGTAGGCCACGAAGGGCGACAGCGGGGACGCGAAGATGCGTATGGGGCAACGAAGAGCGCGAACGAGCGGGGGCCACGAAGTGCAGACAATGCGGGGCCACAGAAGGCAACTATGGGGCCAAGGTTGGTCAAAATGGCCGGAAATTCCAACGCAAGGCTATTCTTCAGTAAGTTGCAAGCAAGTCTCCAGCGAGAGCGCGACTCCAGAGCGCCGGGAGAGCGATTCCTGAATAAATTATAAGGCAGTCCCAAGCGAGAGCGCGGTTCCTGAATAAAATGCGAGGAAGTCTCGGGCGAGAGAGAGGGTCCTGGCTAAATTGGAAGTCTCAAGCGAAAGCCGTTGTTGTTGTAACCCGGGGGCCAGGCGGCCAGTTTGAGCAGGAAGACTTTCCCTGTCAAAAAACAGGGTGCGAGCGTCGAGGGGCACACTTTGATTGAGAAAAAACAGTATGCACCGGTGGGGGGGGATCAACAATAATTATTCTTCAGACATGAGAGTTCAACAGCAACCACAACAACAACCACAACAACAACAGCAACGGCAACAGCAACAGCAACAACAACACCCACAACAACAACGATATCAACAACAACAACAACAACAACAACATCAACCATATCAACAACAGATGACGATGACGACAACAAAAACAACACCAAGAGCAACAACCACAACCACAATCACAACCACAACCACATCCACAACCATCTTGAAAGCAGAAGCAACAACAACAACACCAACAACACCAACACTAGCAGCAGCAGCAGCAAAAACAACAATCAGTTTAAGACTGTTCTCTCGAATCCGATCGCGTGCCATCCAACACGTATATCCCGAACCCTCGACACCCACCCTCTTCGTCTTCGATCGTACCACCTTGGGGATATAGCTTCCTTACCTGCAACGTGTACGTCGTGCAGCATTCAAGGCATTGAAAGAGCGGATGGAAGTAACGGACAAGGGGGGAGCACGAGAGAGAGAGATAACACAAAGAAGAAAGATAGTAGCAGGAGGTGGGGCCAAGAACAGACAACATGTGGCCGAACCTCAAAGGAGCCTAAGCCGGGGCCACGAAAGTCAGCAATGGGGCCACTGAGGGCACGAGCGACTGGGGGCCACGAAGGGCGAAAATGTGGGCCACAAAGGGCAGCGAGGGAGCCACTGAGGGCAGAGGGGGGGAGGCACACGGGGCTACACTGCGGCCACGAAGGGCAGCAATGGGGCCACTGAGGGCACGAGTGACTGGGGGCCACGAAGGGCGTAGAGATGGGCCACAAAGGGCAGCAAAGGGGCCACTGAGGGCAGCAGCGAGGCCACGAAGGGCAGCAATGGGGCCACTGAGGGCACGAGCGACTGGGGGCCACGAAGGGCGTATATATGGGCCACAAAGGGCAGCCAGGGGCCACTGAGGACAGCATCGGGACCACGAAGGGCAGCGCCTAGGCCACAAGGGGATGGGACACGAAGGACAGCAATGAGGCACAAATGGCGCGAGCGAGCATGGGGCACGAAGGGCATGACCCTGACGGGCGGGCCGAGCGGGCGGATCGATCGTGAGCTCTGCGTGATTCGCCATGAAGTTTCCAGCGAGAGAGCGATTCCTACGTAAAATTTAAAGAATCCCCAGGGAACGCGCGATTCATGAATGTCAACAGCGCGGCGCCTGAGAAAATGGCGAGGAAGTCTCAGGCGGGATCGCGATTCTAGAGTAAATTGCGAGGAAGTCTCAAGCGGTAGCGGGGGACCGGAGTAAATTCTGAGGAAGTATCAGGCGGGAGGCGTTGTTGTTGTAAACCTGGGGCCAACAGCACGGTTTGAGGAGGAATACTTTCCTTGATAAAAAAACAGGGTGCGAGCGCCAGGAGGGGCACTTCAATTGAAAACATATAATGTGCACCGGAAGGGGATCAACAATTATTGTTCTTCAGTAGTGAGAGTTCAACACCAGCAGCAACGGCAACAACATTCGCAACATCAACAACAACAACAAACACAACAACAACAACAACAACAACAACAACAACAACATCAACAACAACAACAACAACAACAACAATCATTTTACCCGAACGCGTGGTGTTCTCCCCAGTGCCAGGGTTTTCATACGACACCAGACAATACCCCCACTTCGTGGGGGGGCATTACAAGCTCTACCAAATATCCAAACGACTCTTCGCGACCACCCAAACCCAGCTTCCCGCCCTATGACGTTGGGACACTTCACTTCGTGGCGTGCGGACGACCGTGGCTACTACACTGGCGCGGGGTACAACCCACAGAACCCAATGGTTTTTGGAGATTTCGGCGTGCGCGCGCGAAGAAAAAACGAATGTGTCCCGCATGGTATTATTTGACAGGGATGATGGCCCTGGCAGGTGCGCAACCGTTGTCGCAGAAGTTCGAAAAAGTTGCTCGCAAAAGCCCGTTTGACAGAAATGTTTAAAAAGTGTTGGGTTTCCTACGAATCCGCAAGAGCGCGCGGGATGAGATTTTGACATTTTTTTGTTGAAAAACCATTGGTTTTTTGATGTTTTTATGTTGAAATCGCTCCGAACACTAAGCTTTTGGAAGGATTTCGTCTTGCGCGCGCGAATGTCCACTTTACCTTATTTTTTGCAAGGGATTCTTGAAATTTGATTATATTAGAACAAGAAATGTCATTTTATAGTGTTTTTTGCAAGGGAAAGCGGGGGGGAACAAAACAACCGGATCTTGATCACATCGAATTACCTGAGGCTTCCTCACGAAAATGATGAAAATGTAGCTGCGGCCTAGGCGGCGCAGGGGGGCCGTGCACCAGGGGTCCCAACAATAATTATTCTTTAGAATTAATAATGTTCAACAACAACAACAACAACAACAACAACAAATCAGTAACAATCGCGACCGCGACAGCAACAGCAACATCAACAAAAACAACATCGGCAGCAACACCAACAATTCCGACAACACCAACAACACCAACAATATCGATAACAACAACATCAAACCCACCACCAACAACAACAACAGCAACAACAAAACGCAACCACAAAACACAACCATGTACAACAACAGACAGAAACTGCGCGTCGGAACTCCACTTCAGCAACGTGTCCGGGGACAATGAATGCCCGTTCGGCCCCTTCACTCAGATGTACATTCGGACCCAGGCCAGAAGACCATCCCTCAAGAGCATGAGACCCTCCGCCGGCCAAAACGCACAGCACATCCAAGGGTACCCTTCCCGGGTGCACGAGAACCTCCAACCAACACGGAGAATATTAGGGCACCCTCCCCGCACCGACCTCGATCTTATACCTCACTCCGATGCACGTTGCTGCCAAAATTGCTCCCCTTCGACTCGTTCCAGAAAGCCCCTCTGGGGGCAGCGCCTGGGGGTCGACCAAAGTGGCCTCGGCCCCCACGGGCGCCGCCCGGCCGCTTGCCGAGGCGGTCAGGCAGCCTCCGAACCCCGAAGGGAAGAAGAAGAAGAAGAATAATAAGAAGAAGAAGGTGAATGAGGAGGAGGAAGGAGAAGGAGGAGGAGCAGGGGAGGAGGAGGAGGAGGAGGAGGAGAAGGAGCGGGAGGGGGAGGAGGGGGAGGATGAGGAGAAGGAGAAGTCCGGCACCCAGGGTCGGTCTCCCGAAGGCCGCCCGTGTATTGCACACGCCCAGCCAACGAACTACCGCCGGGAGAGCAGCAACAGCTGCAGGGGGAGGAGGGGGAGGATGAGAAGGAGGAGTAGGAGGAGGAAGAGGAAGAGGGGGAGGAGGAGGGGAAGGATGAGGCGAGGAGGAGACGAGACACGACGAGCCCATGGACAGCAGACCTGGCCTCGCCGCTGCGGGTTCTGGGGACGGGAAGTCCCACGCGCGAGAGACTCTGACAGAAAAAGCGAGCGAGGGAGAACACGCCGCTCGCCCCCCTCGAGCGAGGTGCTGTCGGCGAGGAGGAGAAGGAGGGGTGGCACCGTCGTGAACGACATCGATGCCACCAGCGCCAGAGCGCTAGGAGGAGGAGGGAGAGAGGAGGGAGGAGGAGGAGCGGGCAGGCAGCAGGGGGAGGAGGAGGAGGAGGAGGAGGAGGAGGAGGAGGAGGAGGAGGAGGAGGAGGAGGAGGGAGGAGGGGAGGAGCAGAAGGAGGAAAAGGAAGAGGAGGGAAGAGCAGGAGGAGGAGGAGGAGGAGGGGAGAGGAGGAGGGAGGAGGAGGGGAAGAGGAGGAGGGGAGGAGGAGGAGGAGGGGAAGAGGAGGAGGGAGGCCGAGGGAGGACGGGGCACGCGAGGCCGCGGCGGCGGGCCCGCCGACGGGCGCCCTCGCCGGCCGCGCGGCGCTGGAGGTCCTGCTCCTCGTCGGTGAGCCCGGGTGCGGCCGCCCGCGCCCGGCTCGGGGGCGGCACGTCGCCGCCGCCGCCGCCGCTCGTCAGCGCCTCGATCTGGGTCTCCACCTCTCGTGTAGAGGAAAAAGAGCTATGCACATACACCCTGCGAAATGCTTAAGAAATCATGGGTTAAGAAATTCATAGTCTCAGAAATGGAATACAACCCAGAACTTCCATCAAAATCTTGGGATTTACATTGAAAAATTGAGAATAATCGAGACTCTGGACGCAAACTTAGGTTTTCTTAAGCATCGCCTAAGGTGTACACCGATTCTGGCCAGACCCATCCTGAGCCCAGGATCGGTGCATATGCCCTCCCACCGTGGCCAGGAAGGCACATGCACCGATCCTGGGTCAAGAACGGACGTTGTCAGGATCGGTGCATGTGCATATTTCTCTTCGCCCGATCGCGGGCGCACAGGGTGCCAGTCGACAAACAAGATAAGCACGACGATGAACAAAGCGCCGCCGAAGTCCAGCAAAGCAGCGTTTGGGTCCAGCCCCGTGGTCCAGTGCCCATCCAAGGAGCTCCGCACGGACCCCAGTAACTCCATTACAGTAGGGGCCCGACCACAAGAAACCTCCACGAGAAACCCAGCCCTGCGACCCCAGGCCGTTCATGGATGTTTGGTGTGGGACAGTCATGCTTTCCAGAGCAAAACCCTCGAAACCTAAGAAACCCAGGGCACCCTGGAGGCAAGCAGGGTCTTTCTGGGCATGGCTCTCCACTGTGTTTCGGCGGCACCTCGCGGGTGCCTCCCATGCCACGGCGGCAACTCGCGGGGTCGTTCCTAGATATGTCGGCGGCAACTCACGGGTGCCTCCCATACCATCTTGTTGGCTCTTGCGCATCGGCACGCAGCGACGCTGAAAGGCGCTACATCTGCGCTACACATACGCTAATCGACGCTAACCGACGCTTAATCGGCACGATCTGATCGACTGCCACAAGCAAGTCCACCCTCATCGACACCAGTGCCCCTGGAGGTGAGCCAGACTATCAGCGAACGACGGGCGGTGCAACGCAAGCTGCTACGCTTGTCGGGGGCGCCCGCCGACGCTCTTGCGTGTGGCCGCCGCTGTCTCGACTGGGCCCTCCTCCGACACCTGGACCTCCTTGCCCACCCGCGACCAAGAGCTGGATCCATGGAGCATCTCGCGGCATCGCCGACACATCGGCGATGCATCGGCCATGCACTGGCGACGTCGGCGACATGTCGGCGACGTCCGAAGCGAGGAAGAGAAACAGGCGAAGGGGGGGGCGAGGAGGAGGAGCAGCAGGAGGAGGAGGAGGAGGAGGGAGGAGGAGGAGGAGGAGGAGTAGGAGGACGAGGGGGAGGAGGAGGAGGAGATCGACGAGGATGAGTAGGAGGAGGAGGA